CCAGGATTGGACATTGTTTCGTTCTGCTGTGCATGGGGTCGCTATGAGTCGGTTCCAACTCGATGGCACCTGACAACAACAACAACAACATCTTGCAATACTGAACAAGTCTTGATCAAAATAATGAATGATGCAGAAGCAAGAAAAGATGGAATGAATACAGAGTCACTGTTCCAAAAAGAAAAGGTCATTGTCCAACCATTTTAAGAGGTAGCATATGATTAAGAACCGATGGTACTGAAGGAAGAAGTTGAAGTTGCACTGTAGGCACTGGCGAAAAACAAGGCTCCAAGTGATGGAATACAAATTGAAATTTTTCAACAAATTGATACAGCACTGGAGGTACTCACTCATCTGTGCTAAGAAATTTGGAAGACAGCTACTTGGCCAACCAATTGGAAGAGATCCATATTTGTGCCTATTCCAACAAAAGGTGCCCCAATGCAATATGGAAATCATTTAACAATATCATTAATACCAAATACAAGTAAAATTTGCTGAAGATTATTTCAAAAATGGTTGCAACAGCTCACTGACAGAGAATTGTCAAAAATTCAAGTCAGATTCAGAAGAGGATGCAGAACTAGGGATATCATTGTTGATGTCAAGATTTATCTTGGCTGACAGAAGAAAATAACTGAAAGACATTTACTTGTACTTTACTGACTAAAACTATAGATAACATTGCAAATAATGAGTATCCCAGATCATTAAATTGTGCTCATAAGGAATATATACACAGACCAAGCGGCAGTTGTTAAAGGTGATACTGAAGTTTAAAATCAGGAAAGTTGTGTGCCAGGGTTTTATACTGTCATAATACTTATTTAATCTAAGCAAATAATTCAAGAGGCTAGATTATATGAAGAAGAATGTGGCATCAAGATTGGAGGAAAACTCAATAACAACTGGCATATACAGATGGTACAACCTTGCTTCCTGACAGTAAAAAGGGCTTAAAATAGTTAACTGATGAAGAGCAAAGACTACAGGCTTTAGAATTGCACCTCATTGTAAAGAAACAAAAAATTGTTACAACTGGACAAATAAATATCATAATAAATGGAGAAAGCACTGAAGTTGTCAAAAACTTCACTTTGCTTGGATCTACAGTCAACGTTCATGAAAGCAGCAGTCAGGAAATCAAACGACATTTTGCAATGGGCAAAATACAAGATCTCTTTAAAGTGTTAAAGAACAAATACATCAGTTTGAGGACTAAGGTTCACTGACCGCAAATCATGGTATTTTCAATTGCCTCATATGTATGTGAAAGTTGAACGAAGAAGGAGGACCAGAGAAGAATCGATGTATTTGGATTATGGTGTTGGAGAAGAATATTAAAAGTACTACGGACTGCCAGAAGAACAAACAAATCTGTGCTGGAAGAAGCACAGCCAAATACTCCTTAGAAGACAGGATGGTGAGACACTGTCTCTTATACTTCAGACATGTTATCAGGAGGGATCCGTCCCTGGAGGACATCATGGTTGGTAAAGTGGAGGGTCAGCAAAAAATAGGAAGATCTCCAATGAGATGGACTGACCCACTGGCAACAACAATGGGCTCAAACGTTAACAATCATGAGGGTGGCAGGCCTGGGCAGTGTTTTGTTCTGTTGTATACAGGAACACCATTAGGAGTTGGAGCCAACTCAACAGCACCAAACAACACAGAGCTGTCGAAATGTGGAGTTAATGCTTTCACTGAGTTACTGTTTGAGGCAATTAAACAGTTTTACAAAGACATGGTGATGGTTGCACAAATGTATAAATGTACTATCATGAATATCACTGTACACTTTAAAATGGACTCCTACAGGTTCAGCACTGGACTGAGAATTACAAGGTTGGCGGTTCAAACCCACCAACTGTTCCTCTGAAACCCTATACAGGATCACTATGAGTTGGAACCAACTCGACGGCACTTAACAACATAGTTTAAAATGGCAAATTGGGTGATAAATATTTTAATACAATACAAAAAAAATTAAAATCATTTCAATATTAAATCTGAATAATGTTCCACTGTAAGAATGTACCTCAATTTAACCAAACTAATCCATAACGGAAAAATACTGCATAGGACAACTAATGTAAAAGACTAAAAAGAACCCATACTAATCCACTAAAGTGGATTCTTAGCAGGTTGCTAGGGGTAGGAATAATGGTGGGAGGGAAAGGTGGAGCACAGGGCAGGGAATAGACACAGGATAATTTGGGTATTGGGGAGGGGGGCAATATACAAGTAAGGAGAGGGGAACGGAAGAACAAGGCAGATGGGAGAACAATTAGGCAGGTATGAATGAGCTAAATGGGACAGAGGTTAAAACCGATGTAGGCACAGCCTTGGAACAACAGGGCTCTGGGATCCAGAGACTGGGACAGGGTTGGAATGGGGAAAAGGGGGGAATAATGTTGAGATACTTGGCTGACTTTTGAACCTTGGTTTTCTAAGCATTATAATATAAAACAATCACTGGAGGGAGAGGAAAAGGAATAGCCAGAAATATCACCACAGAAAGCTTGTAAGTCCGTGTTCTGCCTATCACTAATTGGAATACCTAAAATGGGGCTACAATGTATCTAGTGAAGGAGGTTTCATGAGGAGCCTCTGCATTACATAAGACTTATAGAAGAAAGCCTGAACCACATCCAGACCATCAGAGAAGGGAAACTTTCCTCTTGAAAGGACAAGCAGACCAGCCTGGAGCAGCCAGAAAACCAGAAGACACTTCTTGAAAGAAGGACCTACAGGAAAAGTACAAAACAACAAGGGCAGTCCAACTGTTACCACAAGAACAAACAAGCTGTCTGTCTGCCCAGGAGACACCAAGGCAAGTGGTTGGGTCCTCTCAGTGCAAATCCTCCCCCAAGACTAAGATGCAAGGGGAAAACGCGTTCTGATTGGCGACCACACACGTCACCCATAAAGAGAAGTAACCGAAGAACATCAAAGAAGCAGCGAGCTAAGCCCTGCATCGTTCAGCAGAATATGGTGAGCCTGAGTGGAGACCTGGTCGGCCAAAAGTGAGGCAAGACCTGGGGACTCATGGACTCAGAGTCAGTGACACATCCACAGAGGACTACAGTGGAGACCGAAGTAACCAACTGATAAGGAGAGGGCGGACAGACGCAGGAACACCCACACCTGCAGATGATACCTACTTGCCATGACTCCAATGAGGGGACGAACAGAGCTCAACCCGATGAAGAAAGAAGAGGAAAAAAGTGTCATCTGATACAATTTGATAAACTGGACATCCACATATAAATGCAGCAGTCCAAAAGAGGAAATAAATCCCTCCTCCAAGAATTATTCCTACCCCCTCCACACAAAGAGTAAATTGGGATGGCCATCTTAAACACTGACCAACCAAAAGGGGAGAAGGGATACAAAGGCAAGAAGTGACTGGCTTCCAAGCTTCAAGAGGGAACCTAGATCCACAGGGCGGGGAGGATGGTAGAGTGTCCAGTGAGTAGTATCCGACGTATCTAGGAAGGGCAGATGAAAAGAAATGCAGATGGGTTCCTTGGGAAGCAAGGGTGAATAATTTTTACCAGGACTGATTGTGAGGACTGGAAATGTAAAGGTGGACATTTTATAGCAAGGAGGGGAGTGATTAACCTTTCAGTCTAGGCGCAGAAGGCCCTGGGACCATCAATGGAGCAGAGCGGAGAGCGGGACCCCACCCAGAGGAGCAGTGAGGCCAGAGACTGAGACAGAGAGGATGACGTGAAGAGATGGAATGGCTGGGGACTAGGGATCCGGAGAGGGAGAGGGGCTGTGTGCTGAGGACCATGAGGGGAGGGAGGGCAGGATTGCAGGGTATACCCTTTGGTTGGGTGATGATGCATGGCAATTAGACGATGTATGATGGAATGAATGTAAAACTAATGTTCCCCCATGTAGACTATCACACAAAACACAATAAAACATAAACATATATATATATATATATTAATTATAAGATTTCACTTTCATAAGCAAAGACAAGAGCAAAGTGAAGTGAACATAAATAACACACTGCCTTTTATTAGGTCCTTAGACAAAATGTTTAGAAGTGGACCTGATATTATTTATAATGTGATAACCTGGAAACAATTTACATGTCACCAATTATGAAAACTTTGGGTACACTATGATATAGTAATGCTATCTCTACTTGATGGAACACTATGTCAATTAAAATGGTTATGCTATTTATAAAAACATGGACCATATCTCCTATAATATTAAGTAAAAAGAACAAGGCCCATGAATACAGGTAGTGTGGTTTGTGTAAATTATTCATACTTTAAAACTACAAAGAGAAGAGACTGGGAAGATAAGCACCTAATAATAAGGAACTGTCATCTTAGTGTATTTTCTTAGGAATTCTTTATCTGTTCTTTCACTTTTCCTACTATTATACAAACCTTTCATTATAGCACAGAGTCCTTTGGAATAAAAGTTTAAAAAAAACCAAACGTCTGCTTATAGTAGCTAAATATTTTATAAAAGCAGCCTACCTCCAGTTTAAAAGCCAGGCCGACGAATCGGTGGGAGTTGTCTCTTTTGGAGTTCATCAAAATTTTGGTTTTCTCTTTTGAGTCACTTTAAAAAAATGAAATATAAACAAATGAGATGCAATATTTGATCTCTTTTACATTAATTTATGTCATCAAAAGGTGGTCGTGGTGGTTATGTGCCATGGAGTCAGTTCCGACTGTACAGGGTTTCTGAGGCTGTAAATCTTTACAGGAGCAGAAAGCCTCATCTTCCTCCCATGGAGCAGCTGGTAGTTTCAAACTGCTGACCTTGAAGTTTGCAGCCTGATTTGCAACCACAACGCTACCAAAGCTCCTTTACATGCTTAATTTTTTGATCTCATAAACATGTCCTAAATATTTTTGACATTATGCAAGTAAAATTTCACTGAAAGAGATCAATAATGAATTCTCTGGGCTCTGCTACTAGATAGTGACAGGCACAGAGTAAACAGAAAACCACAGAAACGGTCTGTTATAAAAAGAAAAATAGTAAGAGTCAAACACATTTGTCTATAAAGCTTTTTTTTTTCTATTTACTACAATAGTTGATTGCAAATGAGAAAATTTTCTAATGATGGAAACCTCGATAGATAATAACACAAATTAAAACTTTTAAAATTTGTACATAACATATAATATAGCAACTAGTACTGTATAATGAATACCTTCTTATGCCAAATTTGTTACCAAAATGAAAACAATAATTTGTATAGACTGTTGTTGTTCTTGTTAAGGGCCGTCAAGTTCCAACCCACAGTAATCCTGTATAGGGTTTCTGTGGAGCTTGAACCACCGACCTTAAGGTTCAAATTGACCTTGCAGTTCAGCGCATTAACTCACAGAGTCACACCAGGACTGGGAAGAAAAATAAAAACTCCCCACACACAGCATAACTAGAAGAACCACTCCTAAGTTCCTTTATAAAATAAGTAAATACAAATGTAAAAGAATCTTCAAGACTTACTCCTCCTGATTAAGAACAGCAAAATTCTGGACTTCTGATGGATTTGGGAGATATTCTAAAACAGCATCTAAAAGAGGCTGAACTCCTTTGTTCTTCAAGGCACTTCCCATAAAGACAGGAGTGAAAGATCTATTTAAAGTAGCTCTTCGGATTGCAAGCTAAAAAAACAAAATAAAAGCAAATTAGCAACTTAATCTCAAAAATTACATTTTCGTGCTTCAATTAATTATCAACCATCTAATAAATAAAACAACTGATATTCCCTGGAGTGCTGGCCCTAGTAGAGACTAAAATCAGTTGTCTTATAACTGAAAACCAAACACATGCACACAATTTCGTTTCTTAGGACTAAGAAGCAACTTCTAGCATAACTGCTTTCACCAGTCTTGAAATATAAATAATGCTCAACTGGCAAGAAAAAAAATACATATATACACACTGTTATTGTTATGTGCTGTGGAGTCGGTTCCGACTCATAACGACCCTGTACAGGGTTTCCAAGGCTGTAAATCTTTACGGGAGCAGAAAGCGTCATCTTTCTCCCGTGGAACAGCTGGTAGTTTCGAACTGCTGACCTTTCAGTTCACAGCCCGATTTGTAACAACTACGCTCCCAGAGGTCCTTATATATACACATAGAAAGCAAAAAAAAAAAACTGTATGCTAATGATTGTGTGAATTTGTACAAAAACTAATATGCCAAGGGTTTCATCTTTCAATTACATTTTTCTACAAACTTTTAAGTGCTCTTGTATATGTAAAGAATTCGTTAGAAAGATACACAAGAAACTATTAACTGGCAAGCTGTTTTAGGTGGGAGGTCGAAAACTGAGTATATGGGAGATCAGGTGGGAAATGTCTTATTGTGCACCTCCCTATACTTTTTAAATGTTTATGCTACATAAAAGTTTTATCCATTGAAACGCATTTTTTTTTCTTTCCTTTTTTAAAGAATACACATACCAGAAGTCAAGCAGTACAAATCACCCACAAATTAAGGGTCACAAATAGTAACAAGCTCAGAATTAATGATCTCTAGATCCTTCCTCGAACTCTGGTAGTATAGTGGTTACAAGTTAGGCTGCTAACCACAAGGTCAGCAGTTCGAATCTACCAGCAGCCCCACAGGAGAAAGATGAGGCTTTCTGCTCTTGTAAAGAGTCGCAGTCTCGGAAACCCTATATAGGGATGCTATGAGTCGGAACCGACTCCCTGGCACATACAACCACTACCCTCACCATGTTCTTCCTCTGAGTCCCAGTATGGAGCTGGAAGGATAAGCATTGGACTGCAAACCACAAGACTGGTGAATCAAACCCAGCAGCTGCTCCCTGGAAATCCTATACAGGGTGGCTATGAGTCAAAACTGACTAGACGGCACTTAACAACAGAATGTCTTTCCTCAACTACGCCTCCCACCTATTGATGTGTCTCTGCTGCACTGCATCGTGTGGCCTTGCTGGTTGGTGGGCCTCATAGAGTAAACAGTGAACCTTTAGTTGCAGCAGCTGGAAGAGGCTGACAGCAGTGCTGGGGTCACAACTTGCTACAACAGAAACACAGAACCTGCATACAAGTATTTGTCAGTCCTCATGCAGAAACACAGTACTAGCGACACCCTAAAAAGCTTGAAGCAAAACATTTAAAATCATCATTTCTAAATACTACCACACTGAAAGGTAGGATAACAGCTAAGCACAATGAAACGGAAGACAAAAAGGAAAACCAAGCATAAGCAGAAAGCAATTACTATTGAAATGATTATTGTTTCTATTGTTGGTAGGAACCAGAAATGGTTGAGTCACTAACCACTTAGGCTACTGTAGGACATCTGGTCACATCTTACTTCTCATTCCTTCCTAGGAATGACACCACGCTTACTTTATATGCACAGAATAGCAGACCTTAAGAGGCAGGTAAATAAATATGAGAAGTCTTCAAAAATTTCACATGGAAAAATGCACATTATGAAAAAATGTGCATGGATTACCAATAGTTTTTTACATAAAATTAAGTTTGCATTAACTTGTTATCGCAGGTTTGAACAGGATCTAGTCTGAGGCACTAAGAAGGCTAAGGAATCAATTTGAAAAGAGTTCCTTTCAGAGTAACACAAATTTTGCTAAAACTGAAGCAAGACCAAAAATAAAATTTATGGTGCGCTTTGCGTGGAAGAATGGTGAAAACTGATGCTCTGCGGAAAGTTTATGGGGACAATACCCAAAGAAATTGGCAATTTACCAATAGAAAACTTATTTTTAAAAGGGATGGGATGATGCTGAAGATGAAGCTCACAGCAACAGACCACCCACATTAATTTGTGAGGGAAAAGGTAACTTTGTTGCTACCCTCACTGAAAAGGACTGACAATTGACAACAGAAACAACAGCCAACACCACAGACATCTCAGCTAGTTCCACTTACACAATTCAGAATGAACTGAGCAAAGTTGAGCAACCTTTCTGCTCAATGGGTGCTAAAAATGTTGTGCCCAGTCGACGCAGACAAGGGCAGAGCTTTCAATGGGAATTAAACAAGTGGGATCATGGTCCTGGAGCATTTCTTGGAAGAACTGTAATAAGAGATGAAACACGGATTTGCCAGTGTGGTCCTGAAGACAAAATAGCAAAGGCTATCAATAAGTGGAAGCAGTCCAGTCCAAGCAAAAGCAAGGGTCATGATAAGTTTTGTGGAATGCCCAAAGCTCACCAGCTGCTCTTTGAAAACCCTACACAGGGTTGCTATGGGTTGGAATCGACGCGAAAGCACTTAACAACAAGGCATTTTGGCTTGTTGACTTTCTAAAGGGCCAAAGAGTGATAACATTTGACTATGAGAGTTTTTTGAGAAAATTAACAGAAGTTTTAGCAGAAAAATATCCAGCAAAGCTTTACTAGAGAGTCCTTGTCCGCCATGAAAATACTCCTGTTCATGAAGATCAAACCTATCCCCTCTGTACACAGGGCTGATAGGGACAGGCAACTCAGACATGGGCTACCTAAAATGCAGGGCTATAAAGGCACGAAATGGCTAGCTTACAAGTTTTCAAGAGGGAGTTTAGTTTCAGAGTGTGCTGGGGAAGGTAGAAGTCCCACTGAATAGTTTTCATCTTTTCTAGACAGGTCTGGTAAAAGGAGATGGGGATAAGATTCTTATGATTCAATAGTAACTGCTACCACGACTAACTGCAGCTGTCACAATTATAAAGGTAGAAGTTTGTAATATAAAGGGGGAGTAATTAATCTTACATTCCAGGAACCGAGGACCCTAGGACTTATCAAGGGAGAAGAGCATGAGCAGAATGTGGGACCCTATCCAGGGAGGCAGCGACACCAGAGATGGAGGCAGAGATGAGAACATGGAGAGATGGAGCAGCTGAGGACTCACGGAAAGAGAAAGGGTGTGTGCTGGTAGCCAGGAGGCAGGCTTGCAGAATGTGCTTGGGTTGTTTAAATGATTATATATTCCTGAGTGTTTTTGTGTACATCCAAAAAAAAAAAACAACCCAGAGGGAATAGAAACAAATACTGTTGAATGATGATTCGTGGAGGGTATTGTAATCATTGCCATGAAACAAAATATGATAGGATGAGCACAAAACCAGTGTTCTTCCATGTAAATTATCATTCAATTCACAATAAAAAGCTTTAAAAAAAAAAAATGCTCCTGCTCATTCCTCTCATCAAACAAGGGCAATTATGTGGTTTTGAAGGGGAATCGTTAGGCATCCACCTTACAGTCTTGACTTGGCTCTTTCTTAAAAAGGGGTCCTAGTGTAGAATTGTAGGATAAGCACAACAAGGTCAGTTTGAACTGCAAGCTAGGTACTTCAAACTCACCAGCCACTCCTTGGAAACCCTATACAGGGAGGGATGCTATGGAACCGACTCCATGACACTTAACAACAACAATCTTAAAAAATCTTTAAAGGGCACCCATTTTTCTTCAGTTAATAGTGTAAAAATGACCGCATTGAGAAGGCTAAATTCTCAGGACTCTCATTTCTTTAGGCCAGATTTTACTTAAGGTCAAACCTGTATCTTCCTATATAGTGTGCATTACTCAACAGGGAGCTGGGGTAAGGCCTCTGGGGATGCTAAAGAACCCCAGTCTGAAGACACTAAAATGCCATGAGGGAACTGTCTTACCTACAATAATTACTTATCTGTCCTCTGCTAAGTGTTTTAAGCAGCTCAGCAAAATGAGTAGTGGTTTTAGCTAGGACCTCTTTCTTCCCTTTTTGTTTAAAAGAGCTAAAGAATCAATAAAGGAATCAAAAAGCTTTCCAAATACTGTAAAAGTATAAGCAGCAATATTTAGTCTGCAAACATTAGCAGTCTCGTCTGTTAACCTGGCTTACTATTGTACCATTTCTATATTTACCTTCCTTTTCTTTCTAATATGGATATACCCCAAGAAGTTTTGGTTTTGTCTTAGAACAAGCTACGACTCCTTTCCCATTTTAAAACTGATACAACTCACTAGTTTAAAAAAAAAGGTATGCCATGTCAAGTGTTTTTGAAAGAAACAAATTATTTTCAAATTATTTGACTAAGATAAAGACATTGATAAAGTCCATGTATAAAAGTATCGTGCCCCCTCTCCCATTTATAGAAATCATTTTCTTATTAACAGAAGACTTCTTTGGAGAGCACTTGCCTTTATATCAGAAACTGATGGGATCTTTTCTTCCAGAAACAGCTCACCAAGTTGCTCATCAGAATTGGCAACACATTCAATCAGCTCCTGCCGGTGGTCAGCTGCCATTGCCCTCAATTCTGCTGGAATTTCACCGTATCGAACAACCTGACTGAGATAAGAAATTTTAATTTTGGTTCTTCAGGAATATTCAATTAAACCTGTAAGGCACCAATTTAAAAAACAGAATAATAACTATAAATTTTTTACGTTAAAGAAGAGCTCTGGATGTGCCCTTTGGTTGTTTAAATGATTATATATTCCTGAGTGCTTTTATGCACATCAAAAAAAGACGATAAACCAGAGAGAACCGAAGCAAATACTGTTTAATGATGATGCATTGAGGGGATTGCAATCACTGCAATGAAACAAAATATGATAGGATGAGTGCAAAACCGATGTTCTGTTCTCCCACGTAAACAATCACTCAACTCAAAATAAAAGCTTAAAAAAAAAAAAAGAAAAAGAAAGCGCGCGCTCTCATATATTTGCATTAAAATAGAAATAACATAACACTAATATATATTTTAAAAATCTAAACAGAATAATGGACAAAATGAAAACATGTCACTATGATGAGAACAAACATCCCCAGTTTTGTAACAGATGTCACATTCTGCTTTTTCTGTAGGTCAAGTTTTACAGAAAATATTGATAAAAGATGTAATACAAAATCCTTTTCTATTCATTACAAACTAGTTTATCTTTATTCTAGCTATTTGAAATGAGTAACTACAGTGCTTATAAGTTCAGAGCTATGATTAGACAAAGCGTCAACTAAATCAAGATAAAAATTATTTTCAGTGGTGGTGTGCCGTTGAGTCAGTTCTAACTCACAGCGAACATGCATAGGGTTTCTGAGGCTGTAAATGAACAGAAAGCCTCATCTTTCTCCTGTGGAACAGCTGGTAGTTTCGAACTGCTGACCTTGAGAGTAGCAGCCTCCTAACCACTACACTACCAGAGCTCCTGTATTTTCATTTTCAGTGTAGCTAACAGCATTATGTGGTGCTGTACAATCAGCACTGGACTGCAAATCACAAGGTCAACAGTTCAAACCCTCCAGTTGCTCCTCTGGAACCAACTCGACAGCACTTAACAACAACAACAATAACAATTATTTGAAAATTGGCAAAGTAGTAATAAGAGAATTCACTTGAATATTCATTGTGTAATCACCACTAAACAGAACATTTGATAAGTTATTTAACTTCAACTTCACATCACAAGAGGGAGCTTCTATTATCTGCATTTTCAGATGAGGAAACTAACTCAAACAGGTAAAGTAACTTGCTCAAGGGTGCTGCTGTTAGGAGCCATCGAGTCAGTTCCAACTCATAGTGACCCTAAGAACAACACAATGAAACACTGCCTGGTCCTGCACCATCCTCACTATTTTATGTTTCAGCCCATTGTGGTAATCACTGGGTCAGTCAACCTCATTTCAGGTCTTCCTCTTTTTTACTGTCCCTTGACTTTACATATGATATCCCTCTCAGGGACTGTAAATGGGAAAATGAGGATTCAAAGGCAATGTCTGACTCCAAAGCTCTTGAAAATTCTATTAACCATAATTTTATTCACCAGAACTTCATAGTTCCTACAGAGTAAGATTAGAGAACTGACTCCATTCAATTTTCAGTAATTAAAAAACCCTACTAATTCAATTAAATTTTGAAAATGATACAGTATTTTATAGTAGAAAAAGGTTATTGAATTTTGAACCCAATTCTTCACTCCTGTAAGAGCTGAATAATATACATAGTATGTGGCACCTGAGGATAAGCACTCAACCATAAGTTTGGTTTGAACTGCAGGGTCAGTAGTTCAAACTCACCAGCTGCTCCACAGGTCGCTAGGAGTCAAATTCGACTCAACAGCAAGCAACAACATCTACAACAAAGTAGCTTTCTAGAAATTTGAATTCCTAGGCCAATCCTAGCTATAAGGAACTTTTGGTGGCACAGCTGCTAGGCACTTGGCTGTGGACTGAAGGGCTGGCAGTTGATAGATTTGGCAGTCTCCTTCTGTGAGGATCCCAGCCTGAGAACCACTAAGACCCATTCTCATGCATTGAGATGTAGGTTCTTGGTGAGTCAGAAGTGACCTGACAACAAAAGGTTTACAGCCCCTATCACACTGGTACAATTTTAACTGGTCTCACATTTTAACCTATTTATCTTCAAAATCCTAAGAGATAACTAGAGCAGATACTTACAATCCACAATCCTGATTTTCTTCCCAAGTTTTATCGTAATACCCAAGACACAGTAGCTGTCCCATAAAAATTTGCCGAATAAACAAACAAATGTTTTAAAAAGATGCTTACTTTGTAACTTAAAAACTCTTCATATTCCTTCATATTGATGTTTTTTAAAACCTAAGACTACAATAATTTTTTGGTTGTTTCTTTTTAACTTACCCAAATTCTCCATCAAAATAGATAGCTCGTTCCTCAATAAGATCTATAATACCTTTAAAATCATTCTCCAAACCAATGGGTATCTGCACAAATGCTGCATTATGATTTAGCTTGGACCTAAAAAAATAAAAATACACATTTAACTCTTTTTTTTCCATCCCAAAGCCCCCTTAGAAATGACAAAGTAGCATAAAAAAATCCATCACTACTAGATGCTACAGAACCAGAGGGGTGCTATCAGCGTAGCAGAAGATACAGGGAAGAGGGAAATAGATGACAGTCAAACTCAATGGAGTTTAGGAAGCCACAACCAAAAAAAAAAAACCCCAAAAAACAAACAACAAACCAGTAGCCATTGAGTCAATTCTGATTCAAAGCAATCCTACAGAGTACAGTAGAATTGCTCCATAGGGTTTCCAAAGCTGTAATCTTTACAGAAGCGACCACTACATATTCCCCTTGAAGAACAACTGGTGGGTTCGAACCAGTGACAATTTGGTTAGCAGTCCAGCGCTTAGCCACAATGCCACCAGGGTCCCATTTTAAAAACAAAAGAACCTCCAAGGTGTTATTCTATCAGATCCCCAAAATACCCAGACTGGAGCCAGAATGGGTAGGAAATCAAGTCAGTGAGTAGTTAACCAGGAAATGAAAGGATGGTGGGATAACTGAGCCCACCTCTCAGTTTTAGAGCAGCAACTCTAGCAAAGCAGAGTACAGCAATCTGAGGAGGGCATTTCTATAGGAAAACACTTAGAGAGGGAGATAGAGCCAGACACTTATCAACAGGCTGTCCCAGCATTCTCTCTCACCCCAGCACAGCCACGGAAAGGAAAATGCTCTCACTGGCAGGACTATTTCACACCTGAGAAATACATGCTCTACTTACCAGAGGCTAGTCTAGACTCTAGACCCTGATCTGTAACTACGGATCAATTCCTAAGACACGCCAAATACCTGAAAAAAATCAACAGCTTGAAAGAAAGTCATGAACTCAAGACATTGTGCTAAACTCCAAAGAAAGAGTTACTGGAGGAAAAAAAAAAAAATTTAAAGGATTTGAGAAACAACTGTCTCTATTAATAAAAGATGTCACCAAAAAAAAGTTTATAGAGATTAAATATTTGCTGAGAACAAAATGTAAATGCCTAAATAACAGCCTCAGAAACCCTGTGCAGGGTCACTATGAGTTGGAACCCACTCCATGGTACTTAACAACAACAACAAAATAACAGAAGGGATGCAAATGCATATCATATTAGAATATCTGATCTCAAGAATTCTCCTATTACCCAGAACAGTATAAGAAAAAAGAAAATATAACAGAAAAATTGTGATATGGAGGCTAGATTCAGAAATCCTTACATCTGTTAAATGGAAGTTACAAAAAAGAAAACAGATAAAGGGGAGTGCAATAAAAAAAAAAAAGAATCAAGTACTGCGGACCGAGAACCAACAAGAACAGACAACAACCAGAGATTGACATACGTGACAGCACCTCCCAGAATTAAATCGACAGAAGGATGAGTTGAGAACATAACAAAACTATAAGAACAAACTCAGAGAATCTGGGAGGTCAGTCTATGATCAAAACAATTACAATGTAAAAGGTGGTAAACACATAGAAAGAGACCCAGATGGTGAGAAAATCAGGTAGATTACAAGACAAAATAGACTGCACTAAATGGAGAGAAAAGTTAGTGGACTATAAGGCAACCTCAAAGAAAACTAACGCTTCACAACATACCAAAACAATGAAAATCCAAGAAGACCATGGAAATGTTAAAACTATGAGGAAACTCACAAGAAAGAACACAAAAAGCATGAATTCAAAAAACGAAGACACACAAAACAAAGAAAGCAGCAACACCACAAAAAAAACAAATATAATGGCAGCAATTAATCCATACGAAAGGAGCTCTGGTAGCGTAGTGGTTACGAATTGGGTTATGAACCTTAAGGTCAGCAGTTCGAAACTACCAGCCGCTCCGCTGGAGAAATATGAGGCTTTCTACTCCTGTAAAGATTTACACCCTCGGAATCCCTGTACAGGGTCGCTATGGGTCGGAACCGACTCGATGGCACTTAACAACAACAACAACAACATCAATAATTACACAAAATATAAACGAATTAAATGCACCTGTTAAGAGACGGAGAGTGGCAGAATGGATAAGAAAACAAGATCCTTCAATATGCTGTCTGCAAGAGACACATCTCACACACAGAGACAAAAACAGATTAAAATCAAAGGATGGAAAAAATATACCAAGCTAATTGTAATAAAAAACAAACAGGAGTAGCAGTACTAATTTCTGATAAAATAAACTTAAAGGCAAAACCCAGCAAAATAAAGATAGGCATTATCTCATGATTAAAGGGACAATTGAACAAGATGACATAACCATAATAAGTATCTATGCTCCCAATGAAAGAGCTCCAAAATATATAAAGTAAACTCTAATAGATTTGAAGAAAGAAATACATGAATCTACAACAATAGTGGGTGATTTTAATACACCGCTTTCAAAAATGGATAGAACAACCAGAAAGAAACTTGACAAAGACACAGAAGAGCTAAACAACAGAATCAGCCAACTGGACCTCATAGATGTGTACAGAGCATTCAATCCAACAACTGCACAATACATATTCTTTTCCAGTACACATGGAACATTCTCCAGAATAGACCATGTTTTAGGCCACAAAACAAATCTCCATAAATTTACAAAAATCAAAAGACTTCAAAGCATCTTCTCAGACCACAATGCTATCAAATTAGAAATCAACAATAGGAAGACCAAGGAAATCAAGTCAAATACATGGAAACTGAATAACACCCTACTGAAAAGCAACTGGGTAGTAGAAGAAATTAAATGGGAATTCACAAAGTTCCTAGAAACAACATATCAAGATCTCTGGGACACAGTAAAAGCAGAGCTGAGAGAACAATGTATTGCAATTAATGCACACATCCAAAAAGAAGAAGAAACGAAAATTAACACATTAACACAGCATCTACAATTAGAAACAGACCAACAGAGGGAACCTACAACCACCAGAAGAAAAGAAATAATAAAGACTAGAGTAGAAATAAATGAGATAGAAAACAGAAAAACTATAGAAAGAATCAACAGGACAAGAAGCTGGTTCTTTGAAAGGATTAACAAAACTGACAGACCTAACAAAAGAAAAGAGGGAAAAGATACAAATAACACACATTAGAAACCACATGGGCGATGTCACAACGGAACCGAAGGAAAGCAAAAGGAAAATACCAGAATACTATGAAGAGTTGTACTCCAACAAATGGGAAAACTTAGAAGAGATGGATACATTTTTAGATAAACATGATCTACCTAAGCTTACACACAGTAAAGTAGAAAACCTTGAACAGATCCATAACAAAAGAAGAAACTGATCAGGTCATCAAAAGACTCCCAACCACAAAAACTCCAGGCCCAGATGGCTTCACTGGTGAGTTCTACCAAACATTCAGGGAAGAGCTGTCACCAATTCTACTCAAATTATTCCAGACAACAGAGGAGGATGGAAAACTTCCTAATAACATTTTATGAAGTAAGCATAACTCTCATACCAAATCCAGGGAAGGACGTCACTAAGAAAGAAAATTATAGACCAATATCCCTCATGAACATAGATGCAAAAATTCTCAACAAAGTCCTAGCCACAGAAACCAGCAACACATCAAAAAGAAACCAGCAACACATCATGATCAAGTGGGATTCATCATATCAGGGATGCAAGGAAGGTTCAACCTAAGAAAAACAATCAACATTATCCACCATATAAATAAGAAAAAAGACAAAAACCACATGATCATATCAATTAATGCAGAAAAGGCATTTGACAAAATCCAACATCCATTCCTGATAAAAACACTCAACAAA